AAATAGCTGGGGAAACTCCCTGGGGAGGTAAAAAGGACGGACCGAGACCGATGACAGTTCAATGTCAGCTGAGCATAATGGAGACATTAAGGCAACACCACTGATTTATGTATACACATACTCCCCTCCTTGGGATTTCCCTTAGCGTTTATATCCTTGTCCAACCTGACAGGCGCACCAAAGCCGCTGACTCTAACTCTAAGGAGACTGACCCTTCCTTAGATACAGTCGTCACTGTAAATCCAGATTGTCCACTCTACAAACTCTGGTAAAAGCGGTTGACAGCGGCCCCTGTCAACAAGTTAACAGTGGAAAAAACAGGGACTCTAATCTTTTTAATTCTACTCGGCCCTGTTAACTGAGGATCAGCCTTGTGCGATGGTAGAATCAAAAGAGCACTCTAAGCTTTTTAAATAGTATTAATACCAAAAAACAAAGAAAAAGAAAACAGGACAGTAAAAGTTACAGTGCAGTGTAAGTTATCAATCTAATAATTAAAGGCAGTGGAAAAGAAAAGTTAAAAGAACTGAGAGTTTCAGCAGACCTGCAATTTTGTTCCAGATATATGGAGCATAATAACTGAACGCTGCTTCTCCTCGTTTAGTTTTGACTCTGGGGAAAAGAAAGCAGACCTGCCCGAGACGACCTGAGAGGTCTGGATGGTTCATAAATAAAGCAGAAGATCAGAAATGTAATACCAACTTTATAAACCAACATCAGGATTTTAAAATCAATTTGTTGACACACAGGAAGCCAATATAAAGACCTCAGAACTGGAGTGATGAGATCTGGCTCTTAGTGAGGACTCGAGCAGCAGCGTTCTGAATCAGCTGCAGCTGTCTGATGGATTTTTTTAGGGAGCCCTGTAAGGACACTGTTACAGTAGTCGAGTCGACTGAAGATAAATGCATGGACAAGTTTTTCCAGGTCCTGTAATTGTCTTAATGTTGCTCCTCAAATTCAGGTCTGAGTCCATGACTACACCATGATTTCTGGCTTGGTTTGTGGTTTTTAACATTACCGATTAAAGCTGAGCACTGACTTAATCATTCTTCCTTGGCTCCAAAAACAATAACTTCAGTTTTATCTTTGTTTAATTGTAAAGAATATGTTCATAGATGCTTTAGGAAAATTCAGATTGTATTAGGTGGCTGCCCATCATATCAAACAAGTGGTTTTGTTGGCTGCACGTCCATAAAGGTTTTTGTGAATTTAATCCAGAGGATTTCAAGTTAAATAGTTAAAACACACCGACATCAAAGGGCTGTCATCTCTCAAGGTTGAGTGAAGCATCACAGATTGCCTCCCTCTGGATAATTAAATTACAGTAAAATTTATGCCTACATGAATTTTGCAGATATTCTTATCAGTAGGCTCGTATTTAATCAAGTAACATTAAAATAATATAATACATTATTATATTTATTATATATATATGCTATACTTCATCAATTAACTAATAAAGAGAATTTTTGTTTGGTCAGCGTCCATGCCATGTTTTTTTAGTCCTATTTTATTCCTAAAACAAGACTGTACTCGGTAGATGAATAGAGACACTTGAACTAAAATGTACATGATTTTGTTTAGTATGTACCCTCATGCGGGCACTCCTCAGACAACAAGTTAATTAAGTTATATACCGGTGGACACAAGAGATAGCAGCTAAATGTAAACGGTCACGGTCTGAAATTTTGCCACAATACAACAGGAACAACAGAAATAAAACGTACTTACGCTTGGTTTTTGTCAAGAAGTCAGAGATCCAAAGTGTCAAGAGTTAGTGAGATCCTGAAATGGAATTTCATGATTGAGGAAACATCATCAATAGAATTCTTTGAGTGGATTAACAGCCCTGTGCACCCACACAGGTATTTCACGTTATGTGGCTCATTACTTTAGTGTAAAAAATGCAGGGCGTGCAAGTCACAGAGTGGTTATGATACTTTTACATGAGTGTAGAATCTGACTTTCAGGTTTGTGTTCGGTGAAGTGGGAGTAAGGATGTTAGAGTGACACTGAAACAGACCTTCATTTGTCCAGCTCATGATCAGAGAAATAGAAATGACAAAATGAACAATTATAGCTAAATTAGAACTACATGTAGAAACAGAAACCTATAGATTGTAGTGGTAGTAAGTAATGTATTTATATTCATTAATACATTTTCCGTCATGTATCTGGGAACAACAACAGGAGGTCAGAGTTCATCAAATACTAATGGAATAAATTAAAGGAACAAAGTCTTTAGAGAGAAACGAGCAAATAGTTGAATTTTAGAAAATCAGTTAGTTGATGGGCCATGCAAATAGATTTTACAAAGTGTCAGCGGTTAAGTTCATTTAGATATATTTTAGACTGTCCCTTTATTCGTCAATGCCAGAAAAGGAACTGCAGGGTGGGGGCTGACATTTTTTCGAGAAACCTGTGGGTCACAGGATTCCTGTGGGAAATACTAATAATTTCACTACATCACGGGACAGGGAAAGAAAAAAAAGTCAATAGGATCGGGCAGGATAGGTGTATCTGCCCTCGGTGGGTAAAGCAAGATGCAGAGAGTCTCGACTGATGCCTTTTACAGTTTATTTATTTATTTCAGTTCATCCTTGTCCAATACCATTGTAAGCATTGTGAAAACTATAAAGTATAGAAAAATATAGAAAAACTTTCATACACATTACTTGGGCTAAAATCAGACTGCAATAACAATAAACCTAATTAAATACACAAATTAAACTATCATTACACTATACAACTATATTATCCACCCCTCCCAGTCATATTAATACTCACATTCCTTGAGGCACAGGCCGAGGAGGTGGAGTTGCAGCTATCTTCGACTCTAGCCTACTAATCAGCTCTAAACCTAAACTAAATTATAACTCATTTGAAAGCCTTGTTCTTAGTCTTTCACACCCAAGTTGGAAATCACTGCAACCAATTCTTTTTGTTATACTGTACCTGGTCCGTATTCTGAATTCTTATCTGAATTTGCAGAGTTTTTGTCAACTTTAGTCCTTAAAACGGTCAAAGTTATTATTGTAGGGGATTTTAATATTCATGTGGACGTTGAGAATGACAGCTTTAGTACTGCGTTTATCTCACTGTTAGATTCCATTGGCTTCTCTCAGAGTGTTCATGAACCGACTCACTGTTTTAACCACACCCTCGACCTTGTTTTGGTGTATGGTATTGAAATTGAACATTTAGTGGTGTTCCCACAGAATCCCTCTTTATCCGACCACTGTTTGATAACTTTTGAGCTTGTATTGCTGAACTACACGCCATTGGACAGAAATTTTTATACAAGATGTCTGTCTCGCGATTCCATCAACTCTAAATTCATTATCAACTCACAAAGTAACGGAGGACTCCTATGCTAATTTCAGTCCCTCCTAAATCGATCATCTTGTTGATAGTGCTGCAGGCTCGCTGCGAATGACACTCGACTCTGTAGCCCCTCTAAAAAAGAAAATAATAAAACAAAGACGGTTAGCTCCATGGTATAATACTGAAACTCGCAAATTAAGCAATAATAAAGCAAATATCGCGGAAACTTGAGAGGAATTGGCGTTCCACCAAACTCGTTTAATCTGGCAAGATAGTCTTAAAACTTATAGGAAGGCCCTCCGTAATGCTAGAGCAGCGTACTACTCGTCATTAATAGAGGAAAATAGGAACAACCCCAGGTTTCTTTTCAGCACTGTAGCCAGGCTGACAGAGAGTCACAGCTCTATGATTCCCATAGGTAACAGTAGTTACAACTTCATGAGCTTCTTTAATGATAAAATTCTAACTATTAGAAACAAAATTCACCAAGACCTGACACCGACTTATCTCCAAACTCGGAAACCTTAGAAACAGCTGTAAAACCAGATGTATCTTTAGACTGCTTTGCTTCCCTCAATCTTTACCAACTAACTTCAATAATTTCTTTCGAAACCATCAACCTGCCTCTTAGACCCCATCCTGACCAGGCTGTTTTACCCTTAGTCAGCACTTCTCTACTAGATATGTTCAATGTATCTTTATCAACAGGCTATGTACCACAGTACTTTAAAGTAGCTGTAATTAAACCTCTTCTGAAAAAGCCCAACCTTGATCCAGATTTTTTAGCAAACTATATATCTAACCTATATATATAATCTTCCATTTCTCTCTAAGATCCTGGAGAAAGCAGTCGCTAAACAGCTGTGTGACACAGCAATAGTTTTTTGAGGGTTTTCAGTCATGATTTAGAGTTCATCATAGCACAGAGACAGCACTGGGGAAAATCGCTAACGACCTCCTAATTGCATCAGACAAAGGACTTGTCTCTGTACTGGTTTTATTAGATCTTAGTGCTGCATTTGATGCCATTGACCATCAGATCCTATTGCAGAGACCAGAACATTTTATTGGCATTAAAGGAACCGCTCTAAGCAGGTTTAAGTCTTATTTATCAGATCAATTTCAGTTTGTACATGTTAACAATGAGTCCTCCATGCACGCCAAAGTTAGTCATGGAGTTCCTCAAGGATCTGTGCTCGGACCAATCCTCTTCACTTTACAAATGCTTCCTTTAGGCAATATTATCAAAGGAATTGTTGATCAGGACATGTCATTTAAGTCTCACATTAAGCAAATTTCAAGGACCGCCTTTTTTCACCTACGTAATATTGCAAAAATCAGGAACATCCTGTCTAAAAATGATGCAGAAAAACTAGTCCATGCATTTGTTACTTCTATGCTGGATTACTGCAATTCCTTATTCTCAGGCTCAGGTGAGTCCTGAACCATCCTTTAGTTATGCTGCTATAGGCCTAGACTGCCGGGGGATTTCCTATGATGCACTGAGCTCCTCTCTCCTCTACTTTCTCTCCCTCTGTATGCAACCTTATCCCATTATTGCATGTTACTAACACAACTTCTCCCCTTTCTGGTAGTCTTGTGCTTTCTCGTCCCTCTCCTCTCTCCTATCACTTCCTGCAGGTTTTTCTGGCTCTTGAGCTGTGAAGTCTGGATCTGTGGCTGCGGGTCTCCTGCTGCCCCTGTGTTCCTGCTCGACACCCTCTGCTGCAACGACTATTGTTACTAGTCCTATTGTTATTATTGTTATTATAATCATTAACTTTACGATTATTATCATTAACACTACTATAAACATCTGTACTATTTTTCATTCAGGCTATAGCAACATCACCTTTACTGTCTGTACCCATGTGTAAATATTGTGTAGGCTGCCTCCCACCCCTCCCTCTCTACTTCCATCCCCCTCCCTCTTTCTCTCTGTTCCTCTCTTGTCCTCTCTCTCTCTCTCTCTCTCTATCTCTCTAACCCTCAACCAGTCCAGTCAGATGGCCCACCCTGAGCCATGGTTCTGCTCGAGGTTTCTGTCTTTTAAAATGAAGTTTTTCCTTGCCTCTTCTGTAAATATCATCACAGAGTACGGTCTAGACCTGCTCTTTTATGAAAAGCGCTCAGAGAAAACTGTTGTTGTGATTTGGTGCTATATAAATAAAATTGAATTGAATTATATAGACAATAACATTTAAAACCCACATTTAATCAATACATAAAAGGTAAATGTCTCTTCTTTAATACTACACAGATAAACAACTTGAACAACTTCCCTCCAGCAGCAGCCGCACACAGACAAACTATACACACCTTGTTCCGCTTCCCAAGGGTGTTAACCTTAAGACTGGCAGTTTCCTTTGTTTTGGCTTTGTTATGTGCAATTTATACTTCTGCGTCAAATCAACAGCGTACCCTCTGCGTAGCCCCCTACCCTATGCTGTGACCTATGGCATAGCCTGACGTGCACCTCCTCAAAAATGTAACTACACGTTGAAGCGTAAGCACTGTGATTGGTCGGCTGGGTAGCCTCGCAATGCCTCCGAGCCGACAGGAAGTGCCCGAGCTTTGAAGTAACTTTTACTAGTGGCCAAAATGGTGGCTGTAACACGGTGGATCAATATATTTGACCGTCACAAACTGAGCAAAATGACTTGTTTCACTATCAGAATATGATCCACTTGGTCGAAAACATTTGAAAAGGCTATACCAGCCGCACGTATACAATTTTTTCCCCATTCACGGAGGGCTAAACCAGAAATTAGCGTGCTCGGCGGGCAAAAGTCAACACAGTGGATACTGTAGCGCTACTGCCGACTAGCGTTTGGGGTAATTGCAGTGTAATTGCAGATTGATGGACACACAGACGCACAAGTATAAATGCCTAGCGACGTGCGTAGCCTACGGCGTAGCTACACCGTACAGACTAGTTAGAGAGAGTAGATTAAGTGTACTTCTCTGTTTATTCTCTTTTCAAAATAATTGTAACTCTATTATTTGATCAACCTCTCAGCCTGTTATTATTTTCCATTTAACTCATTTAACCCTGATTGTACACTGCACTGTAACTTTTACTATCCTGTTTTACACTGTTTATTATTATTATTTTTTTTAATCCTGTTTTTATTTTCTATTTCACATAAAGCAATTTGAATTGCCTTGTTGAAATGTGCTATACAAATAAACTTGCCTTGCCTTGCTTTGTATCTGTCATGACTGAGATCTATTTCAGCACCAGCCACTATTTATTTATTTAATTTTTATTTTTCTGCTATCAAAGCAATCTGACGGCGGGCTAGATATTATTTCTGGCGGGCCGGTTCTGGCCCGCAGGCCGCCTATTGCAGACCACTGATCTACAGTCTTGCATGGGTTTAGCCTAGTGGCAGAAAATAAAAATAAAAAAATTTAAATTACTCCAACCGGTCAGTTACAATAGGAATCAAGAGATCAGTTTTTATATGTAAATTAGGGCTGGACGAAATGGCCAAATTTTTTTTATATCTTTCGATATCGATAATTATCACATAAATATCAAATTGTTATATCTTTCGAGTTTAAAGGCAAATATTTTGCTCCAGAGTGAAATTTGAAGAAACCTGATGGTTAATTGTGTTTTAAACTCTTCTTTCTGGTCAACACTTGATACCAAACAGTGGATCACTCAGAGAAGGGGACTAGAGTTTGAGATTTGAATTGCGCTTAGGTCTTGAGACTCGTCCTCAAAAGACTTCAGACTTGACTTGGACTCAAGGTGCGGGACTCATGAACAATGGTTATCTTTAGTATGTTATCTTTATGTCTGATGAGCTTGCTGTTATTCCCCTCCCTGGGTTACCTATAACCTACCTACATAACACATATTACGTATCTGCTGCACACAGCCACATGTGAGAGAGGACAACAAACACAGGTGTCGAAAACTGTTGTCTGCCGTCCGTGGGAGCATACGCAGTATGTTAAAGCTGTATCGCCCAGTCTCTTTAGGACTACGGCTGCAATCGGGTCAAACACAAATATCGTACAAATAAATATCACTTTATGTCCGTGGTAATAGCAAAGGTATGCCTTTGTGAAACTTTACAGTTTCTTTTAATGGAATAATCACAATTGTGGCTAAATAAGTGTTTGCCGTTTATAGCGTAATCAGGCCGGACATTTATGTGATTATAGGCAATAATAGAAGCCTGTTGTTGCCGATGGATTATGTTTTTGGAATATTTATGACTAATATCCTTGTTTATATTTGGAAAACAGACTGTAGCCTATAATTAACATGACTTACTGCTGAGTTATATATAAAATAAAGACATGATCTCTTTTGCAACTATCCTTATGACTCTGCATTATTTTACTTGCTGTGTACCAACCAATCCAGTTAAACCTATTAAAATACCTTTAAATGGCCAATGCAACCCATAGCATGCAGTATTTCACTTGCCAAAAAGTGATAGCAGATTCTACTTATTGACTGAAAGGTAGTTTCTACCCTGAAAAGTGTTGACACCCTCACTAGTTTGCTTTCAGGCCCAACAGACCCACAGACGATGCCATCACCTTGAGATAAACAACACCTTCATCAAAATGGTGTTTGTGGATTTCATCTCAGCATTAAACAATCTCTCCCATGAAACTCAACACTCTGAGCTTGAGTCCCACACTCTGCAGCTGGATATTGGACTGCCTTACAAATAGACCCCAGTTGTGGCTGTGTGCTCTGCATCACATCACAACTCCACGTTAGCGTAGAAAACTCTTAAGGAAACTCAAGAAGGCTAAATTCCCATGTTCTTGTTAACTTTTACAACACAACACAAAGCAAGAGATGCTGTCATACCACCAGACTGCAGAGCAGCAGCTTCTCCCAGGCTGTGAGACTGTTAAATTCATCCCCAGAACTACAGCATGTACAATAGTTTTATTTCTTTTTTATTGAACCATGTAAAAAATAAATAAATAATAAATAAATAATTAGTTTTAACAATAATAAAAAATATTAATAATAATTTTTATATGTTACGTTTGTGTTAATGCGTAATGCATAATAATGATGTAAATTGGGTTGTTCTGTTTGGCTTAAAATGACCAAACTATGTAAAACATAATAGTGTAGTATTGTTATTCAGTTACCAAAATGACACAGACGGAGCAAAATGGATGCTGAGCCAAGCTTTAATCAGAAAACAGATTAATGATTTACAGGAGCATAGAGTACAATAATACAAGTAAATACTGGGGATAATTAAGCCAAATTCTTTCTTAATTTCAGGTTAAAATACAAACATCTTAAGTTTAACAAAAGTATAAATTGTGAAGAAAAAATGCTTGGTTAGATGTAGAATCTAAATTTAAAGTGACTCTGGGTCTTAAGAGGATCCTAACCATCAAACGCAGCGGAGAACTTAAACACATGGTTTGCCTTTGACAGCAGTCAGAGATTAGACAAATTTTTTTCTTTTTATTCCTTCTTCCGAAGCATAAAGAAAAATGCTGTTTGTTCAATTTTATTTTTCATTGAAGGTTCTATTTCTTTTTCAATTTGTATTTCTCCAACACATCTTTAATTAAAATACAATAGATTAAAATACAATACAGGTGTGAATGTGAGCTTAATAGTCCACTAGAAGATCATCTTGTAGGCTATAAGGGTTCCTCAGTTTAAAAAGAAATAGGGTTAATGTAAAAATAATAGAAACAATAGTGCATAGAGGTGTGGAGAGGTATATGTTTTTATATTTTTAATATACATTTTAATTAGCTTGTTATATTATTGATGGATTTTTAGCCATGACAGCAGCATCGATGTGTTAGTGCACTACTTTCGTCTAGAATGAAATATCTCAACATGCATTGGAATGCATTTTTGAACAGATGTTCATGGTGCTCCAAAGAGGATGTGTCCAATTCTTTGGCAAAAACCTGCTAAACTAATTATATTTACCATCAGCACTTAGCTGTACATAAGTTTAAAGCTAAACAGCAAATATTAGCATGCTAATAGGCTAAACTAACTTGGTACACATTATGGCATCTGCCTTAGTCGAGGTCCTGCTGTGGATTTTTTTCTCATGTTCTAACAAATCAGTTTGACCTTAGTCACAGCTCTAGCTACTCTTTGCCACCCTTTCATCTGCCCCAGCCCCCCCCTCAACGTTTTCCCTTTCGTCCATTCCTCTCCCATGTTTGATCATTCTTCTGCCTTTTCCTCCTTTGCGTTTACTAATTCCTTTTCCTTTTCCTCCTTTGCGTTTACTAATTCCTTTTCCTTTTCCTCCTTTGCGTTTACTAATTCCGGTGCCTTTTCCTCCTTTGCGTTTACTAATTCCTTTTCCTTTTCCTCCTTTGCGTTTACTAATTCCGGTGCCTTTTCCTCCTTTGCGTTTACTAATTCCTTTTCCTTTTCCTCCTTTGCGTTTACTAATTCCGGTACCTTTTCCTCCTTTGTGTTTACTAATTCCGGTGCCTTTTCCTCCTTTGCGTTTGCTCATTCCTCTCCCTTTTCCTCCTTTGCGTTTACTAATTCCGGTGCCTTTTCCTCCTTTGCGTTTACTAATTCCAGTACCTTTTCCTCCTTTGCGTTTACTAATTCCGGTGCCTTTTCCTCCTTTGCGTTTACTAATTCCGATGCCTTTTCCTCCTTTGCGTTTACTAATTCCGATGCCTTTTCCTCCTTTGCGTTTGCTCATGTCTTTCCCTTTTCCTCCTTTGCGTTCACTAATTCCTCTCCCTTTTCCTCCTTTGCGTTTGCTCATATCTTTCCATTTTCCTCCTTTGCGTTCACTAATTCCTTTCCCTTTCCCTCCTTTGCGTTTACTAATTCCTCTCCCTTTTCCTCCTTTGCGTTTGCTCATGTCTTTCCCTTTTCCTCCTTTGCGTTTGCTCATTCCTTTCCCTTTTCCTCCTTTGCGTTTACTAATTCCGGTGCCTTTTCCTCCTTTGCGTTTACTAATTCCGGTGTCTTTTCCGCCTTTGTGTTTACTAATTCCTTTCCCTTTTCCTCCTTGGGGTTTGCTACTTCCTCTCCCCTTTCTTCCTTTGTGAGTTGCTAATTCCTTTTCCTTTTCCTCCTCTGTGCCTGTCCTCTTTCTTGGACTCTTTCTTCTACCAATGCCATCGCCACTTAGATTGCTGCTTACTGTTTTAAAATCAGAATTTCCATTGTCATAATTAGGACCTGTTTGTGATGGAGAGACAATTTCACCTGTATTAGAACCATCATTTCCATTATTGCTATCAAGTCCACTTTGGGAGGAGGATGCACCTCCTTCATTAAAATGATTTCTATTGCCATAATTAGGACTCATTTGTGTTTGGTAGACACTTTCCTCTGTATTAGAACCATCATTTCCATTATTGCTATCAAGTCCACTTTGGGAGGAATACAAACTTTCTCCTACATTTAAATTATTTCCATTGTCATAATTAGGACTCATTTGTGATGGGTAAACGCTTTCACCTGTATTAGAACCATCATTTCCATTATTGCTACCAAGCCCACTTTGGGAGGAGGACACATCTTCTGCTACATTTAACTTATTTCCATTGTCATTATTGAGACCCGCTGGTGATGGGGAGACACTTTCACCTGTATTAGAACTATCATTTCCATGATTGCTATAAAGCCCACTTTGGGAGGAGAACACATCAGTTTTTGTGTCTGTAGGTTGTGCTTTGTCTGAATAACAATAGGGTGTAACTTGTTTACCACTAGAGCAGCTTGTGCACTCATTTCTGTTGCAACGGAATATATTGATCAGACCAACTGACTGACCAAGCCGCTCAAGGGATCCACGTAGGTGCTGTTCAGGTATGGAATCTTTACCACGGGGCTTGAATACTTTGGAAAACACAACAGCATAGTTATTCCACTGTTGAATCATTTTGATGCTGTTGAGAATGTTATAAGGATGCGATTTATTTGTACATCTTTGATCACACGGGGAAGCAAGAACGTAAAAAAGCAATAAATCATTTTTGTCATGATTACTAACCAAGGTGGTAAAGTTTTGTAGAATACGGTACTCTGCATGATCCGCTCTACCATTTGAGACGTTTCTACACTGTTTCTTAACATCAGCCCACGTTTGACCACATTTTGTTGGAAGATCAGACCATTGCACACGTCCATCAGGACACTGATCCACAACATTGGGCCATCTCAGAACTGTAGCTGCAACCATCCTCTTACTGGTGTACACTTCACATTCTGTCAAAATACTTTGCCAGACTTGTTCACGAGTATCAGTCACTTGACTGATGTCATAAATTTTCCTGTCACTGTTGTATGGGATGCTTACAGCCAGACTGAACATGGGTTCTCTTCTGTCAGAGGAAACAGACACAAAATGTAAAGCAGGTGTTATTTAAAACAGTGTATTGATAGAGTATAGAAAGTTACATAGACTTAACAAAACTAAACTAAAGTGTAGACTGGAGCCACACGTCAATCAGGAACGTAAGAAATTGTACAAGAAATTGAAAGTTTAACTATTTGCCCTGAACTTTATGACTTAAAAAGTGTCTGTATGGAAAATCATCATGTGTTGTATAATGTAGCATTTAGCATGCAGCAGTCTCTGGTGTTTGTTTTTCTATTTGTCTTGTCTGTATGTGTTTTATTTATTTATTTATTTTTGTTACATTTTTTTGTGTTTAAAAGCGTACACTAGTAACATCTATTTTAATACTCACGTCTTATTCTGGCTGTAATTGTAGCTTGGTCTATACCTGTCGAAGGATACACAAAAAATGTTACCGATATGTCTGATCAGTTGATACAGAACAGAAGTTTGATAGATGCAAGGGGGCTCTGATCATAGACCTGTCAGAAACAGGCTGACTTTTAGAAAGGGAAAATCAAAACACAGCCCAGTGTTTTGTTTTAAAGAGGTGGTATTATGCTCATTTTCAGGTTCAAAATCCTATTCATCGGTTGTACCAGAACAGGTTTACATGGTTTCATTTTCAAAAAAACACCATATTGCCATACTGCACATTGCTACAGCTCCTCTTTTCACCCTGTGTTGAAGGCTTCGTTTTAGCTATGGAGTGATATATCTTGTCTCTATATTATCTTTATTAGGAGTTGCACATGCGCAGTTCCTAGTTAAGGACTACTAGCCAATCAGAAGCAGAGAAGGGCGGGTCATTTAAAGGCCGGTAATAGCCAATAAGAAGCAGAGAAAGGCCGGTCAGCGAAAAGATGGCAACAGCTTGGCAATATGGATTGGAGTAAGAGTTTCAGAGTGGTGAGTTATTAATCTGTAACAAAAGTATCTTTCATCAATAAAGTTTTAACTGAGCTCTGTCTCTACATCACAGTAACAACTTTATGTCCACTGCCTGGTGGGTAGCTATTGTTTGGAAGGGAGAGGAGAGGTGTGCTGCAGCTCACTGATTTTCCACAGGTGTTTTTGAGGGCGTGTCAGACTAGTCGCTCGGAAAGAGTGTTATGACACATATTTATATTTATAAAAATCTTGCATAAACCCTGATAACAGAACTAAAACAACTGTGACAGTAAAGGGTTCAGAAGTCATGTACAATGAACATCCCCTCTACCCGTCTAAAAAAGAAAAGAAAGATAAATAGTACTATTTATGAGGTTGACCATCTTCAACTACAACTTGATTTTGCAAAATACGAAGAAAATAAATAAAAGAAACACCCTTAATAGACTGAATAAATAAGCAGTCAATGATCTATGTCTGTCTGATAGTGCTGTAGCTAAATTTAAGGATGCGATTCCATCAGCTCTAAATTCATTATCTAGTCACATAGTAACGGAGGACTCCTATGCTAATTTCAGTACCTCCCAAATCGATCATCTTGTTGATAGGGCTGCAGGCTCGCTGCGAATGACACTCAACTCTGTAGCCCCTCTTAAAAAGAAAATACTAAAACAAAGATGTTAGCTCCATGGGATAATACTGAAACTCGCAAATTAAAGCAAATATCGCGGAAACTTGAGAGGAATTGGCGTTCCACCAAACTGGAAAATTCTCGTTTAATTTGGCAAGATAGTCTTAAAACTTATAGGAAGGCCCTCCGTAATGCTAGAGCAGCGTACTACTCGTCATTAATAGAGGAAAATAGGAACAACCCAAAGTTTCTTTTTAGCACTGTAGCCAGGCTGACAGAGAGTCACAGCTCTATTGAGCCAAGTATTCCCATAGCTCTCAGTAGTTACGACTTCATGAGCTTCTTTAATGATAAAATTCTAGCTATTAGAAACAAAATTCACCAAGACCTGCCCTCAACTGGCACCGACTTATCTCTTAACTCAGGAACCTTAGAAACAGCTGTAGAACCAGATATATGTTTAGACCGTTTTGCTTCCCTCAATCTTTACCAACTAAGTTCAATAATTTCTTCATCTAAACCATCAACCTGCCTCTTGGACCCCATCCCGACTAGGTTGCTTAAAGATGTTTTACCCTTAGTCAGCACCTCTATACTAGATATGATCAATCTATCTCTATCAACAGGCTATGTACCACAGTACTTTAAAGTAGCTGTAATTAAACCTCTTCTGAAAAAGCCCAAACTTGATCCGGATGTTTTAGCCAACTATAGACCTATATCTAACCTTCCATTTCTCTCTAAGGTTCTGGAGAAAGCAGTTGCTAAACAGCTGTGTAACTTTCTACAGAGCAATAGTTTATTTGAGGATTTTCAGTCAGGATTTAGAGCTCATCATAGCACAGAGACAGCACTGGTGAAAATTACTAATGACCTCCTTATTGCATCAGACAAAGGACTTGTCTCTGTACTGGTTTTATTAGATCTTAGTGCTGCATTTGATACCATTGACCATCAGATCCTATTGCAGAGACTGGAACATTTCATTGGCATTAAAGGAACCGCTCTAAGCTGGTTTAAGTCCTATTTATCAGATCGATTTCAGTTTGTACATGTTAACGATGAGTCCTCCATGCATGCCAAAGTTAGTCATGGATGGTTCCTCAAGTATCTGTCCTCGGACCGAGCCTCTTCACTTTATATATGCTTCCCTTAGGCAATATTATCAGGAAACATTCCATAAGCTTTCATTGTTATGCAGATGATACTCAGTTATATCTATCGATCAAGCCAGATGAAACTCATCAGTTAGCTAAACTTCAAATGTGCCTTCAGGATGTTAAAACCTAGATGACCTGTAATTTTCTAATGTTAAACTCAGATAAAACTGACGTTATTGTTCTGGGGCCTAAGCACCTCCGTGACGCATTATCTAAAGATATAGTTTCCCTGGATGGCATCGCCCTGGCCTCCAGCCCCACTGTGAGGAATCTTGGAGTTATCTTTGATCAGGACATGTCGTTTAAGTCTCACATTAAGCAAATTTCAAGGACCGCCTTTTTCCAGCTACGTAATATTGCGAAAATCAGGAACATCCTGTCTGATGCAGAAAAACTAGTCCATGCATTTGTTACTTCTAGGCTGGATTACTGCAATTCCTTATTATCAGGCTGCTCGAAAAAGTCCGTTAAGACTCTTCAGCTGATCCAGAATGCTGCAGCACGTGTTCTGACAGGAACCAGGAAAAGAGATCATATTTCTCCTGTTTTAGCTTCTTTGCATTGGCTTCCAGTAAAATCCAGAATAGAATTTAAAATCATTCTTCTTACCTACAAAGCTCTTAATGGTCAGGCACCATCTTATCTTAAAGAGCTCATAGTACCTTACTACCCCACCAGAGCACTGCGCTCCCAGAATGCAGGGTTACTTGTGGTTCCTAGAGTCTCCAAAAGTAGACTAGGAGCCAGAGCGTTCAGCTATCAAGCTCCTCTCCTGTGGAACCAGGTTCCAGTTTGGGTTCAGGAGGCAGACACCATCTCCACATTTAAGAGTAGGCTTAAGACTTTCCTCTTTGATAAAGCTTATAGTTAGGGCTGGCTCAGGTGAGTCCTGAACCATCCCTTTTCTTATGCTGCTATAGGCCTAGACTGCCGGGGGATTTCCTATGATGCACTGAGCTCCTCTCTCCTCTACTTTCTCTCCCTCTGTATGCAACCTCATCCCATTATTGCATGTTACTAACACAACTTCTCCCCTTTCTGGTAGTCTTGTGCTTTCTCGTCCCTCTCCTCTCTCCTCCTATCACTTCCTGCAGGTTTTCTGTCTCTGGAGCTGTGGAGTCTGGATCTGTGGCTGCGGGTCACCTGCTGCCCCCGTGTTCCTGCTCGACACCCTCTGCTGCAACGACTATTGTACTGGGAGAATGGCAGCTCCCCGGTGCGGAAAGTTTGGAGTTTCTAACGAGGCGTCACGGTGTGAAAATCGATGTTACTGCAAGTATAGAGGAGTGTAGTTTAGCGGTGAGTGCAGTAGTTGGTCATGAGAATGTTTTATCGGCGTCGCGAATGAACAACACGATTGTTTTGTTCGTTAAGACCATCGAATTGGCGAACTTGTTGGTGGAGAGTGGTGTAGAGATTGGTGGTATTTTTACCTCAGTGCTACCTCTCTCTACGCCGTCTAAGAGAGTAACGTTATCTAATGTGCCGCCGTTCATCAAGAACAAAGTTCTAGTTGGAATGCTCTCGAGGTATGGGAAACTGGTCTCTCCCATTAAGATGATTTTGATTGGAAGTAAGTCATCGTTGTTGAAACATGTGGTGTCTTTCAGGCGTTATGTTTATATGGTACTGAAAGATAACATTGAGGAACTTGATCTGACTCTAAATTTTCGACATGAAGAATTTAATTACGTGATATATGCTACAACTAATACAATGAGGTGTCGTGGTTGTCCAAAAAGAGAGGAAAACGTAAATAAAACTGCATTAACTGTTGCTTCAGAAAGTGCAAATGAAGTGCAGAATGAAATCGCTACAGTTGTTGAGGAGTTGTTGCCGGGTCCAAGCAGGGCGTCGGTTGCTCCTAAAGTAGTAGAGAAGGTTTCTGAGATTGTGGAAAATTCAGAAATTGTTGGAAAAGTCGGTGTAGCTGCAGCTGGGGAGAAAGAGGGTATATGTTCCCAGAGGATAGAACAAGCAGTTTTTGATCCAGATGATGGCAGTAACAGTGAAGACGAGGCTATGGTAAATCCAGAAGATGGTGATTCTGTGTTGGGAGATGAAGAATGTCTTTTTTAAAATCCCCCAAAAAAGGAAGTTGTTGGAATGCCCTGCTGAAAAAAAAGCAAAAAGAATAGATGGCATTCATATGAGCCAGACTGACACTGAGAGCGAAAGTGACATTTCAGAATGTAGTGTCACTGCTAGTCTGCCCCAAAGTGGTTTCTCTAGCCGAACGTACACTGTTGTGGATATTAAGTCATTTTTGAAAATAACAAACAATGTGAAAAAAGTCAAACTAGAGGAGTATTTTCCAGACATAATACAGTTTATCGAGAAGGTAAAGATTTTTAGAAGTGAAAGTTGTTTCACTAATCAAGGTTTACCGTCTTAAGAAAATTATTACGAAATTAAGTAGTCAGTCAGGCGGGCCCAGTGAAAACAGCCAGAATGGGTAAATTGAGGCATCTTTTATGGCTTTGTTTCTTTTGCTCTCTTTCTTTATCCTTTATGGGGGAAATACATTTTGCTTCCTTGAATGTTAATGGAGCAAGGGATTTTAAGAAGAGAGCTCAAGTTTTTGAATTAATGAAATATAAGAAAATTGATGTGTTGTTTTTACAAGAGACACATACTGATGTATCAAATGCTGTAGACTGGGTAAAAGAATTTGATGGATTAGTGATCTTAAGCCATCATACCTCATTGAGTGGTGGAGTTGCAGTGTTATTTTACTCCATACTCTTATAGTATAGAGGAAAAAATGAAAGGAAGGTTGCTGAAGATTAAAGCTGTATTTGAAAATAGTTCTTTTGTTTTTGTCTGTGTATACGCTCCAACTATGGCATTGGAAAGAATGATATTTTTGAACACTTTGGATGATGTTTTAAATGAGTGTTATAATGATGATTTTTTTAATGTTAGGAGGGGATTTTAATTGTACTGAAAATGTCATAGATCGAAATCATGTTGAACCACACATGCAATCCAGAAAGAGGCTAATTCAACTGAAAAAGTCTCATAGCATAATTGATATATGGAGGAATTTCCATGGTATACAGAGACAGTACACTTGGGCTCATGCTCATGAAAATCAGTTATCGCTGGCAAGGCTTGATAGATTCTATGGATTTAAGCATCAATTAAGCATGTTTAGAGAATGTTCAATAAGTCCGGTTTGTGTTGTAGCAAAAAGTTTTGTCAAATCAAAAAGTGCTTATTGGCATTTTAACAATAATTTATTATCTGACTTTTTTTTAGAGAAGTTTTTAAAGAGTTCTGGACAAATGCTAAAGCTATGAAATCATCTTTCTTAACATTGCAGCAGTGGTGGGATTTTGTTAAAATACAAATCCAACAATTGTGTCAACAATATACTCACAACGCCACAAGAGACAAAAATACCTCAATGAGTATGTTAGAAGAAGAGTTGATGAAGCTACAAGAGCTTGCAGAGTCCACAAAAGATGCCACCCATATAGAGCACATAAAAAGAAAAAAAAAATATTATCTGACATGCTAGGTTGTGCAACATAAGGTGCTATCATTAGATCCCGTTTTCAAAGTGCAGAATTAATGTATGCTCCTTCTAAATTCTTTTTCAGTCTAGAAAAAAAAGAATGGACAGAAAAAGTTCATTCATGCCTTGCAGTCTTAAGAAGGGGATTTGTTGACAAATCCCTCAGATATTAGGAAGAGAGCTGTACTTTTTTATAAAGAGTTGTACAAAAGTGAAATTTCTGAAGAGCAAGCTGATAATTTGAATTTTTTTGAAAATTTACCTCAGATAACTAAAAATGCAAATGAGGAAATTAGTAAAACTTTGAGTTTAGTTGAGCTCAAAATGCCCTTAAAAGAATGGAAAATGGAAAAGCACCAGGTATTGATGGCATTACAACTGAATTTTATAAATCTTTTTGGGTAGAAATAGGTCGAGAATTATTAACAGTTTTTAATGAGAGTCGGGCAGATGGACAACTGCCTAGAAGCTGCCGTAGAGCAATTATTACTTATTGCCTAAAAAAGGAGATTTAAACGACATCAAAAATTGGAGACCAGTAAGTTTATTGTGTAATGACTATAAAATATTGTCTAAAGCTTTGGCAATCAGATTGGGGGAAGTCATTGAATCGATTATTCATCCAGATCAGTCATATTGCGTACCAGGAAGGAGAATCTTTGATAATGTTTCTTTTATCAGAGATATTTTTTACTGTGGAAAAATTTTTAACGTAGATTTTGGTATGATATCAATCGATCAAGAGAAGGCTTTCGACAGAGTCGAGCATATTTATTTATGGAGTGTTTTAAAAGCCTTTGGTTTTAGTTCGGAGTTTATTGAAGTGATTAAGATGATGTATTGTGGCGTTGACAGTATATTAAAGATTAATGGTGACTTATGCTCTCCATTTAGTGTCTACAGGGGTGTCAGACAAGGCTGTGCGCTGTCAGGCATGTTGTACACCTTAGCCATAGAACCCCTGTTAAAAAATTAAGATCTAATGTGTGTGGACTGTGTATGCCAAATTGTGCTACTGTTTTTAAGTTATCAGCATACGCTGATGATGTCATTGTCATAATCAGTGAACCCAACGATGTCAATGTGATGTTGAAGATTTTAGATGATTTTAAAACTCTTTCTTCAGCAAAGGTTAACTGGGAAAAAAGTGAAGCCATACTAGTTGGAAAATGGCCAAAAGGTGAACCAAGGGTTCCTGATGGACTAAACTGGACAAGAGATGGTTTTAAATATGTAGGAGTCTTTGTAGGAGATGAAAATGTTGTAAAAAAGAATTTTGAAGGCACTGTTGAAAAGATCAAAGGGCAACTGGATAAGTGGAGGTTTTCACTCCCAAAAATTTCTTATAAAGGCAGAATTTTGATCATAAACAATCTGGTTGCCTCTGCACTTTTACACCGCCTAGCCTGTATAGATCCCCCAGTAGATGTACTGACGAAAATCCAGTCAATGTTAATCGATTTCTTCTGGGACAGAATGCACTGGGTATCAAAAAGTGTGTTGTATTTATCAAAAGACGAAGGAGGACTTGGGTTGATACACTTGCAGAGCAGAACGGCTGCATTTCGTCTGCAATACGTACAGAGACTTTTGAAGTGCTCCTCAGAGTCCAGTTGGATGGCGGCTGCCTGTGCGATCCTCCGGAATATCGAAGGGCTAGGACTGGACAAAACTTTATTCTGGTTGGACTCTCAAAGATTGAAAATATCTAATTGTCCAGTTTTTTATCGTATCTTATTAAAAGTTTGGTCACTGTTTAAGAAAAGTAGGGAAAGCAATGTTGCTTCTCTGTTTGGGCTACTTCGAGAACCATTGGTCGGTGGCTCACGTTTGGATTTATCACGTGAGTTTTCTTTTGCCATACCAGAAAGGACTTTGTGTAACACCAAGTTGACAGAAATTGGTCATCTACATCAAATAGCAGGACCTGCTTTTAGGAATGTGGCCGCGATTGCTGAGCATTTAGGACTCAAATCATGCCGTATAGTAGAAAAAGCACTTGAAAAGTGGAGATCGGCCCTCACTAAGGAAGAGACAGAACTACTGGATCATTACTCAGGGTTAATAAACCCTGATTGTAAAGACCCTTTTCCGAAGTTGGGTATTTCTCCCATTTTGGGAGAACACAACAGCATGTTTTTACATTGTAAAGAAATAATGATTGTGGGTTCAAATGTTGTACTTGGGAAAGAATTGTACAAGGTTTGTGTTTTTGATAAGAAATGTTTAGATAACAAGTGTGATACACCATGGCGAAATATACTTAATCTTGCTGTCGATGAAAAGCCAGAATGGAGAGCCTTGTATAAGTCACCATTAATCAAAAAAACTGGCGATTTACAGTGGAGAGTGTTACATGGTGCTATTGCAGTAAATGCATTCGTCTCCTTGACCAATTCTGAAGTGACTGAAGGCTGCCCTTTTTGTTTGGAAAAAGAGACTATTTTCATGCTTTTATGCACTGTGGGAGGTTAAAACCTTTATTTGATATTTTGAGAAAAATTTTTGATTCTTTTAATGAGGTTTTTTCAATGAAAGTGTTTATTTGTGGATTTAAATATGTGAAGAAATTTCGTCATAAGTGTCAATTGTTGAATTTCTTGATAGGTCAGGCAAAAATGGTGATTTATACCACAAGGAAAGAAAAAATTGAGCAAAATGTTTGTAACAGTTTGGTAGCAATTTTTATAAAATTAGTTAAATCTAGGATTTTGATTGATTATCATTATTATAGATTAATGCATGATTTATCCTTTGAGGTAAGATGGTGTCTAAATAAGGTCCTTTGTGAAATTGTTGAAGAAGAGTTGCTGTTTTCTATCTTTTAAGATTTTTTATTGGTCTTTAAATTAATGATGTTGTTTAGCAGTTTGTAACAGTTATTGTGTATATTGTAATTAAAAAGGGTTTTGAAAATCAAATCAAATCTCTCTCTCTCTCTCTCTCTCTCTCTCTCACACACACCCCAACCGGTTGAGGCAGATGGCCGCCCACCCTGAGCCATGGTTCTGCTCGAGGTTTCTGCCTTTTAAAAGGAAGTTTCTCCTTGCCTCTGTCACCTAGTGCTTGCTCTTGGTGGGAACTGTTGGGCTTCTGTAAATGGCATCATAGAGTACGGTCTAGACCTGCAATGCAATGTCAAGCAAGTCTAATTCACTGTTAAAAATCTGTGTACTGCATTACAACTCAAGAAGGGATTGTTCACACTAAAAAAAAAGGCTAAAAAGACATTTTTAAGCTTATTAATTTTTATTTCCCTACAAAATCACCTCAATAATTTTAGGATGCTTAATGCTTTTCAAATAGAGCAATCAAAGTCATCTGGTGAAAATTCCTGTATTTTCTTCCTGCATTATATATTGCACAAAAGAAAAAATTTGCAACGTAAATTTTTCCAGTATCGTGCAGTCCTAAATTAAAAATAGTGCCAATTATTTTCATTTTCAAATGGAAGGTTCTTGATAATGTATACTTTATTTGAGGGAATTTTGGCCATGTTACATTTTGTGAAAAGGAAGTTGAAGATGGTCCACCTCATAATAAAATGCAACCTTTCCTCTATTATGAAAATGAGAATTAAATTTGAACATCATCACAAGGATACGTTTTCCTCTCTGTATTCTAGAGGAAGTCAACTCACCTGTTCAGGATCTCATTTACAATTCCTACAAGTTGGTTCTGGTCCACATCAGCAGCCAAACTGTTTTCAGCAGACAGCAACAAACCCAGCGTTACAGCCATCCAGCACAGGCAAGCCATCTGAGTGTTTAACAAACAGCATCAGCAGGGAGGGTTAAAATAAGGGAAAAGAATGATAACAAGACTAACTACATACAATCTCAAAATGTATAATCTGCGATAGGTTGTTGCTTGTTAAACGTAATGTTCACCACATGCTGCCTGTACAGTATTTACACTAAATCTTACACATTAAAAACAACTTTTAGCAAGGCTACAGTAATGTTGAAAAATGTGTCAAATATTTTGCAGATTCTTGAGAAATATAGCAATAAATTTAAAAGTCAAACATTTAAAAACTGTTTCCCATACTCAATCTTCAACATATAGCATAAATCATTAGCATATTTCATTAGATTCACAGTCTAATCTCTTCTAGAGACGCAAAGCAGTCAATTGATCTCCACCTGGTGGTGAGTTGAGTCAGTTGGTGTAGAGTGTTTTTGGTCCAATTCCACACACAGTCAACGGAAAGACAGGATTAGAAAAGAATTCGCTCATGGTGGCTCAATTAAGTTCAAAATGATCACAGGTTTAGCAGAACATAATTCCATGTCCAGGTCAGGGGTCAGCAAAAAAGTCAGGCATAGGGCCAATTGTTTTTTCAAGTCATTAGATGGCAGGCCAGAACATAGTAAATTTATAATTTATAATCCACTTTTTATTGTGTAAAGAGTAGATTAGCCACTGCTCACCCCTGGTCAGCCACTGCTCAACCCTCCATGGTAAAAGAAGCTTCGTTGGCCGGCACGCTCTGTTGTCTCTTGTACTAAATATGTGTGTTCCTCCATTTGTCCAAGTTTCACATCTATTACTTTTAACCAACCAGACACTACTGCTACTACTTCTTTTCTTCTTCTCCTTTTCTTTGTACATATTCAACGTAATGACGAAACGCGCTCTGTAAAGCAGTTTGTGCATTTGGGCTACTGTAGAAACATGGCGGTGCAACGACTTCTATGTAAGCGGACCCGCGGTGTATGTAGATAAGAAACATAACGGTTCATTATGTAAAGTCTTTATACACCACTGAAAACATAGTTAAGAATATTATATTGCATTTCTGTCAATAGATCCTCCTAAATATTACACACTTTAAACTGAATGACTAAAGGCAGCGATGACTGATATTGTGGTGTCAAACTAATCGTTGATTGATACAATGTAAAACCTCATGGAGAAAAGATTTAGTAGTATTTACTGCTGAATTTACATTTAGGAATTTTGCCATTAGAATTAATGGGAAATGGGACCATCCAAGGAACACGGGAATGCACAGTGAGCAGTTCGTAGCAATTCGCAACCCTCACCACTAGATGTCACTAAAACTTACACACTGAACCTTTAACTTAAAACTTCAAATAACTCACCATTTACTTGGTTTCACGTGGGACTTGAACGCCATTCTCCTGTGGGAGAGTTCTGGGTTTGACCCATGAGTCCATCCCATCCACCTCCTTCTGAGAATTTTCTTACTATTACAGTATTTCTTATTATACAGTACATCATCCTACGTCCCTTGTTGCCATTGTACCACCACTAGAGGTCACTTTCTAACGTGCTTCTACAAACTACCTATTTTGTCATTTTTCTGGGGAGGACATGCTATTATTTGGTACATAGAGACAGACACGAACAGTGAAGCACTCAAATTTTCACTTTTTGTCTGAGTTCAGGGACTCTTTGAGCTAAATACTAATATTTTCAACATACTTTCAGTTAATATTTATACAGCTCAACTTAATAAAGGAGGAGTGTTCTGCAGTGGTGGTTTTTGAAGTTTGTGATACTGTAGGAAACCATTGTAACTGCTGTGGATCCACACTCACTATAGCTACCACTGTCTACGAAGGAGCAAGAAATGAAAATGCTGTGCCATTTAAAATCTTTTTCAAGTCCCCTGGGGGAGAATTCTTACCTTCGCTGCTGCTGACAACAGGATCTTAAAACAGAAAAGACCAATAATAGAAGTAAAAATCTGTATCTCAATTTTATTTACAAGGTCACATTTACACATTTTACTTTTACGCTTATATATATACTGTTCATACTGTTTGCAAATGTTATATCCAGAACACCTAGTACTCAACTCTCAGGGAGTGAGAGAATTCCCTCACTTTCAGTCAAAGTCAAAATCTTTTACCAACTTTAGAGGAGAAAGGCATCTATCAGATGCTATGCTTACTTTTCAGTGCAAGGTGCCGTCTCAGTGAATACTACGGAGCCCCTGAAGTCCCATAAGATGATTTTTTAAAATCTTTTGCGCACTTGTGGGAATAAGATAATTATCTTGTGCACACGAGTTATTATCGCACAAGATAATAACTAGCTGTAAGATGCTTTGGATAAAAGTGGTGTTAAGTGCCAGAGCCATGGAAATAGATTTTACAAGATCTTTAGATTTTAAATTTATTCGTTTTGGTGGGGCTTTTTATCCAAAGTGATTTACAATTGCTATTCATGCCAGAGATCGCACGCCTCTGGAGCAACTAGGGTTTAGTGTCTTGCTCAGGGACACAGCGGTGGACGTGTCATAGTGAGGATTTGAACTTCTCGCACGGCAATTCATGCGTCTTATCCACTGTTCCATCACCACCCAATAGGTCCAGTTTATTTGGATATATTCTATATTGTGCAGTTTAAATGTGGGGCTTTAACTAAATGTTCAGAGTGGCACCAATCCTTTTATGTAAAAATTCAAAAACATTCAAACTCTTTCACATAAAAATCAACGTCTTTGTGGATGTTTGATTGACTTTCCAACAAGAAATGTTAACAGTCACTTTAAACAGAGGCACAGGGCCAGTGGCCTCTCTACCTGTACCCAGTAGGCTGGTTCACTAATACATTGTCCATTCTGCATGCATTAGTATGCATAATATGCATAATAATAATCAGTTCCCTCAGTCCATACACAGTAGGTGTGTATAGATACTGTATAGAATAATGTAAAGATCTTTAGATGACGGATCAGCCACGGCCACTCTCAGCTTCTGGAGGCTTAATGTGGTTTCATGAAGTTTTACATTAAACATTTGCTAATTGCATAAGCTGAGTTATGATTTTCACTTAAACTTGTTGCTACCTTCCTCTTTAAAATCAAGATGAAAACAGCCCAGGGAAATTTTACCTTCTTTGTTGTAGAGAGCAGTCCACTTTTTCAGTTTTCTTCTCTTCTCAGTGTTAGGAGTGAAGGTGCTGCTGTAGTGAGTTCAGTCAGAAGGAATGGCTTCTTTTATAGAGGCAAGGTTGACCAAAGTCAAACCCTCAGAGTGGCACCATGCCCTTTTTTGAACACATTTTTCAAAAATCAGGAAGAAGGAAGAAGATAAGAGAGACATTCTGCAGTTTGATATAAGAAGTTAAAAATACTGCAGTAGGTCTTTTCTTGCAAAATGCATCTCAGATTTACATCTGGACCAAAGGAAACCCAATGAGCACTAAATAATATTCACATTTTAATGCATCTTAATTGCCTTTGTATAACACCACTTTGGGCCAAGCAGTAAACACACAAATGCATAAATAAATGAATGCATAAAAATCTGCATTTCCAAAACTATATACATTCAAAGAGGCAACTATCATGCATATGCTTACAAAGGCACACTGACCAAGTACAGAGGAATATAAATCACTGATCAAAAGATCATGTCACTCCTGAACCAATCTGTCATGTTCAGCATTCAGGTGTAGTAAATTCAGTTGCAGTCAAGGTAAATCCTAAGTTTGACCCAACTTCATTAATAACATGGTGAGTGTTCCGTTTTTTTGACTCACCGTATTTGTAATAATGGCAGTGCTGATTTTTGGCCAGGAAGCAGAAAAACCTCACTGAGAGTCACTGAGAGTCACACATCTTCCACCACTGGCTTACAGACTTGTTGTGGCTAACATGCTGCTACAGTGGTGATCTGGTTTGATCTAATAACTAATAAAACATACAATTACGACAATAACAACAGCAACAGAGGCAGTATACTCTTAACATCCCCGCAAATCTATGTGACCTGCAACATCCAAAATAGAGTCTCACCCACCCTTGCTTGTGTTAGTTCGCTGATAGCTTAGTCATCAAGAGATAAACATATGTTGTAGACTTCTGCTTGGTGGATGACTAGTATACTCACATTAAAACTGTTCCTGTTTTCTTCTCGCCTCGCCATCTCTTCATGAGAAAATATATACTTGGGGTCTAAGCTGACACATACGTAATAGTTCTCATGAAAGTTTAATGCTCCTACAGACTGGACCTTAGAAACCAGAACTTCTCAAATTCCAGACCAAGGTCAGAATCCGGACCAAACTACACATCATTCAAGATCAGACAGTGTGCCTTTCATAGCATAGATATTATGTGGTGATATACTGTATTTTTTAGTGTTTGAAGGAAGTTGAAGCTTTTACCAACTCAGTGATCAACTCTCACCATAGCATTAAGAAGCGGTCAGGTGGTCATATTCATGTTTCATGTGAACAACCAGGATGTGATTTTTCCGGATTAATCCGGAATTCCAGATTTTCGACCTGAAAATCTGACCCACGTGAATCATGCAGATCTGTAATTAAAAAAAAACAGTAATGTAACAGATTACTATTTCCAAAACAGTTATATTAAAGTTACTAACCCAAGTAACGCTGTGCTACTGAACGCACCATCCCTGACGTGAATACAGGTGCACAGGTCAGCAGCCCCCCAGACTTTATGTTGTTCAAGTCAGCTGTTAGCCAAAAAGCTAAAGGAAGACTGGAGAACAGGAAGAGAGAGATATTTTTAACATCTGTAAGTAACGTTATTGCCATTATTGTGTCACAGTCTAAGATGCAAAGAACATTGTCGTCTGTTGTAAACTTTGTGCGACCAGTAAAAAGTTTTTGACCACGAACAATTCTACATTTATACTTAGGCTAATTGAAGCATCACGGCTTGGATCTTGAGACGTCCTGGACAGGAAGCAATTGTTTATTTCAAGTACAACATAGTTCACCGGATTCACTCGATTCACCACTGACCCAGTGGATAACACTGTGGGCTCACAGCAAGAATTCAATTCAAATCAATTTTATTTATATAAAATCACAACAACAGCTATCTCACAGCGCTTTTCATAAAAGAGCAGGTCTAGACCGTACTCTATGATGCTATTTACAGAAGCCCAACAGTTCCCACCAAGAGCAGCACTAGGCGACAGAGGCAAGGAAAAACTTCCTTTTAAGAGGCAGAAACCTCGAGCAGAACCATGGCTCAGGGTGGGCGGCCATCTGCCTCGACCGGTTGGGGTGTGTGTGAGAGAGAGAGAGAGAGAGAGAGAGAGAGAGAGAAGGCAGCCTACACAATATACACACAGAGGTACAGACAATAAAGGTGATGTTGTTATAGACTAAATGAAAAATGGTACAGATATTTATAGTAGTGTTAATGGTAACAGTCGTAATGTTAATGATTATAATAAAACAATAGTCGTTGCAGCAGAGGGTGTCGAGCAGGAACACGGGGGCAGCAGGTGACCCGCAGCCACAGATCCAGACTCCACAGCTCCAGAGCCAGAAAACCTGCAGGAAGTGATAGGAGGAGAGAGGAGAGGGACGAGAAAGCACAAGACTACCAGAAAGGGGAGAAGTTGTGTTAGTAACATGCAATAATGGGATGATGTTGCATACAGAGGGAGAGAAAGTAGAGGAGAGAGGAGCTCAGTGCATCATAGGAAATCCCCCGGCAGTCTAGGCCTATAGCAGCATAACTAAGGGATGGTTCAGGACTCACCTGAGCCAGCCCTAACTATAAGCTTTATCAAAGAGGAAAGTCTTAAGCCTACTCTTAAATGTGGAGATGGTGACTGCCTCCTGAACCCAAACTGGAACCTGGTTCTACAGGAGAGGAGCATGATAGCTGAACGCTCTGGCTCCTAGTCTACTTTTGGAGACTCTAGGAACCACAAGTAACCCTGCATTCTGGGAGCGCAGTGCTCTGGTGGGGTAGTAAGGTTCTATGAGCTCTTTAAAATAAGATGGTGCCTGACCATTGAGAGCTTTGTAGGTAAGAAGAATCCTATTCTGGATTTTACTGGAAGCCAATGCAAAGTAGCTAAAACAGGAGAAATATGATCTCTTTTCCTGGTTCCTGTCAGAACATGTGCTGCAGCATTCTGGATCAGCTGAATGGTCTTAACGGACTTTTTCGAACAGCCTGATAATAAGGAATTGCAGTAATCCAGCCTAGAAGTAACAAATGCATGGACTAGTTTTTCTGTTCCTGATTTTCGAAATATTGCGTAGGTGAAAAAAGGCGGTCCTTGAAATTTGCTTAATGTGAGACTTAAACGAAATGTCCTGATCAAAGATTACTCCAAGATTCCTCACAGTGGGGCTGGAGGCCAGGGTGATGCCATCAAGGGAAATTATATCTTTAGATAATGCATCACGGAGGTGCTTACGCCCCAGAACTGTAATGAGTTTAACATTACAGGTCATCCAGGTTTTAACATCCTGAAGGCACATTTGAAGTTTAGCTAACTGATGAGTTTCATCTGGTTTCATCGATAGATATAACTGAGTATCATCTGCATAACAATGAAAGTTTATGGAGTATTTCCTGATAATATTGCCTAAAGGAAGCATATATAAAGTGAAGAGGATTGGTCCGAGGACAGATACTTGAGGAACTCCATGACTAACTTTGGCATGCATGGAGGACTCATCATTAACATGTACAAAATGAAATCGATCTGATAAATAGGACTTAAACCAGCTTAGAGCGGTTCCTTTAATGCCAATGAAATGTTCCAGTCTCTGCAATAGGATCTGATGGTCAATGGTATCAAGAAGCACTAAGATCTAATAAAACCAGTACAGATCAGTCCTTTGTCTGATGCAATAAGGAGGTCGTCGTAATTTTCACCAGTGCTGTCTCTGTGCTATGATGAGCTCTAAATCCTGACTGAAAATCTGTTTAGCAACTGCTTTCTCCAGAACCTTGGAGAGAAATGGAAGGTTAGATATAGGTCTATAGTTGGCTAAAACATCCGGATCAAGTTTGGGCTTTTTCAGAAGAGGTTTAATTACAGCTACTTTAAAGTACTGTGGTACATAGCCTGTTGATAGAGATAGATTGATCATATCTAGTATAGAGGTGCTGACTAAGGGTAAAATATCTTTAAGCAACCTAGTCGGAATGGGGTCTAAGAGGCAGGTTGATGGTTTAGATGAAGAAATTATTGAAGTTAGTTGGTAAAGATTGAGGGAAATAAAACAGTCTAAACATATATCTGATTCTACAGCTGTTTCTAAGGTTCCTGAGTTAAGAGATAAGTTGGTGCCAGTTGAGGGCAGGTCTTGGTGAATTTTGTCTCTAATAGCTAGAATTTTATCGTTAAAGAAGCTCATGAAGTTGTAACTACTGAGAGCTATGACAATACTTGGCTCAATAGAGCTGTGACTCTCTGTCAGCCTGGCTACAGTGCTGAAAGAAACCTGGGTTGTTCCTATTTTACTCTATTAATGACGAGTAGTACGCTGCTCTGGCATTAAGGAGGGCCTTCCTATAAGTTTTAAGACTATCTTGCCAAATTAAACGAGAATTTTCCAGTTTGGTGGAACGCCAATTCCTCTCAAGTTTCCGCGATATTTGCTTTATTATTGCTTAATTTGCGAGTTTCAGTATTATACCATGGAGCTAACCGTCTTTGTTTTAGTATTTTCTTTTTTAGAGGGGCTACAGAGTCCAGTGTCATTCGCAGCGAGCCTGCAGCACTATCAACAAGATGATTGATTTGGGAGGGACTGAAATTAGCATAGGAGTCCTCTGTTACTTTGTGACTTGATAATGAATTTAGAGCTAATGGATTCGCATCCTTAAAGTTAGCTACAGCACTATCAGACAGACATCTTGTATAGAATTTTTGCCCAATGGCGTGTAGTTCAGCATTACAAACTCAAAAGTTATCAAACAGTGGTCGGACAAAGAGGGATTCTGTGGGAACACCACTAAATGTTAAATTTCAATACCATACACCAAAACAAGGTCGAGGGTGTGGTTAAAACAGTGAGTCGGTTCATGAACACTCTGAGAGAAGCCAATGGAATCTAACAGTGAGATAAACGCAGTACTAAAGCTGTCATTCTCAACATCCACATGAATATTAAAATCCCCTGCAATAATAACTTTGTCCGTTTTAAGGACTAAAGTTGACAAAAACTCCATAAATTCAGATAAGAATTCAGAGTACGGGCCAGGTGCTCGGTACACTATAACGAAGAGAATTGGTTGCAGTGATTTCCAACTTGGGTGCGAAAAACCAAGAACAAGGTCTTCAAATTAGCTATAATTTAGTTTAGGTTTAGAGCTGATTAGCAGGCTAGAGTCGAAGATAGCTGCAACTCCACCTCCTCGGCCTGTGCCTCGAGGAATGTGAATATTAATATGACTGGGAGGGGTGGATTCATTTAGGCTAACATATTCTCCATCACCCAGCCAGGTTTCAGTAAGACAAAATAAATCAATATCACAATCTGATATTAGTTCATTTACTAGTTAACCTTTAGAAGAGAGAGATCTGATGTTTAAGAGTCCATATTTAACTCTCCTATTCGTTTGCACTATTGCTATCTTGTGGTTTTAATTTTTATGAGGTTTTTATGCACAGCTCCTCTTCTGTTTACCTTTTTAAATAATTTCGATGGTCGGGGGACAGACACCGTCAATATAGGATTTTCACTAAGTAACTCCTGAAATGGAGGAGCAGAGAAGTGTGTTAGACTGCGACTCTGCGTGGGGTTTTGGGTGGGTAACTGCTGATATAGAAGGGCAGAGAAGTGTGTTAGACTGCGACTCTGCCTCCTGGTCTCAACTCTGGGTGTCATGGATTTGGTCCACTAATAAACTTGGCCAGATTTTTAGAAATGAGAGCTGCTCCTTCCCAAGTGGGATGGATGCCATCTCTCCGGATCAGACCAGGTCTTCCCCAGAAAGTCTGCCAATGATCAACAAAGCCCACATCGTTTGCTGGACACCACCTCGACAACCAGCGGCGGAATGACGACATGCGGCTATACATGTCATCACTGGTCAGATTTGGCAGGGGTCCAGAGAAAACTACGGTGTTCCGACATTGTTTTTGCATATGTACACACCGACTCAACATTAATCTTAGTGACCTCCGATTGGCGTAACTGGGAGTCATTACCGCCGACGTGAATAACAATCTTACTGTATTT